TTTCTTTTTTTTTTTTTATATATATATGGGTCATATAGGACCATGGGTTGCAAGGCAGCAATTTTTTTAAAGACATGTACATAACTTATTTTTCAATGTTTATACCACGTATTGATAATTATATTGTTTTGTGTATAAACCCAATGGTTTATTTCCTGAGAGGGAATCTACTGTGATCTGTCAAGACATGATTGGTGCTTACAGTATTCAACTGTAACTGTACTCAGAGAACACAAGGCACAATTGCCAAAACTCCCATCAGGCTTTGTTGGCAAGACTAACATTGCAAATTGTCTGTAGTGCCATACTTAAGTTCACCCAAACTAGTGGGCTAGTTCACCCAAAAATGAAAATTCTGTGATTTTTACACTCATGTCGTTGCAAACTTGTATGGCTTTCTTTCATCTGTGGAAGACAAAAGAAGATATATTGTAAAACTCTTCAGGTGTTTTTGTGTACATTAGGAAAGTCAGGAAAGTTGTATGGAATAATTTCACACCTCCTTTATGTCCTTTTTTGGGAGTTTGAAAGTTTTGGAACCCATTGACCTTAATTGTACACACAGAAACTGCTAAAACATTCTAAATATCTTCTTTTGTGTCCCACAGAAGAAAGTCTGTCATCATTTACTCATCCTTGTGTCGTTCTAAACTTGTATGACTTTTTTATCCTGCAGAACACAAAATGAGATATTCTGAAAAACGTTGGTAACCAAACCATTTCGGTTTCCATTGACTTCCATTGCATGGACTAAAAATACAATGGAAGTCAATGGGAAGTGAAACTGTTTGGTTACCAACATTTTTCAAAATATCTTGTTTTGTCTTCTGCAGAATAAAAAAAAAAAAGCATACAAGTTTGGAACGACATGAGGATGAGTACATCAGAATTTTCATTTTTGGGTGGGCTATCCATTTAAATCAATGCAATCAATTTATTTTACTTCAAGCAGCCTGTTTTCTGTGATGTCATTTCTATTAACCCTGGAGGTTGACTTTTGGTGCTTCAGTTTAAATGTTAAGCTAGCTCTTCTTGAACTGGGCTGGGACACTACAGTTACTTCACTGGTTTGAATACACTTACTGGCATTCTTGGTAATGCTTTGCTTTGGGTCTTCCTTTTTGGAAGGTTTCCACATGCTTAAAGCCTACAGACATGTGTTTGGGGCTTAGAAATCATGGAATGTTGCTTAGGAAAAAGCTCTGCATTTTGCAACCCCAGAAAGAACACTTAGTGAGATGGCTAATCATGCTGTACCCTCGTGAAATGTTGAGGCGGATTAACATGGAAACATGTCTGATGTGTAAGTTCACCTTAAAATGTTTTTGAAATGTGTTTTTATTTAGAAAGCTGTCATTGATGGCGATTTTTATCATTTGTACATACATTTATTATGATTTCAGCAGTATAGTCTCTACGGTGCACGCATAACAGTGGCACAATATTGCATTGTATTGCATTGTGTAGATTTCACTTTTTAAACTGCATCACACAAGCACTTACGGAATCTACCAGGCAGTACTCTGCAGTAATCTGGACATGCAGGAGGGGATATAAAGAGCTATTTTTTCCTTTTCCCCAATAGATTCAGCATGGTCAACATGACTTCATTTATTGAAATGGTATTTTCTGTTAAGCTCTGTTCTGTAAAATATTATTTTTTAATTTTGTCTTAGACTGCATCTCTTATTGTGTTAATATGTCTTTGCAGACCTCTGATTTTTTTTTTATCAGATGTGCTAAAGTTATGGTGCTAGATTTAATGAGAATAATGTAAATATGTATTTGCACCTATTGTTAACACTTCATATACAGTACATTTAATGGCAACTGTATTTCAGAAACACTTTATTTATCATTTGAAATAAGCTGTACATAGCCTTTTTATACAGTTTTTTTTATATATATAAACTTTGTTATTTAAACTTGTCATTTTGTGCCTCATTGCAAAGCTACAGCACTGTTCAAAAGTTTGGGGTCAGTAATATTTTAAGAAATTAATGCTTTTATTCAGCAAGGGTGCATTAAATTGATCAAAAGTGACAGTAAATTCATTTATGGTGTCACACAGATTTCAATTTTAAATAAATGCGGTCCGTTTGAACTTTCTATTCATAAAATAATCCTGAAAAAATGTAGCCACAAAAATATTAAGCAGTACAACTTTTTTTTTTTTTTTTGGATAAACTTTGATAATAAGAAATGTTTCTTAGGTACCAACTCAGCATATTAGAATGGTTTCTGAAGGATCATGTGACACTAAAGACTGGGGTAATGGCTGCTGAAAATCAGCTTTGCCGTCATAGGAATAAATGACATTTTAAAATATAGTAGAAAAGTATTTTTTCTTATTATTAAAATATTTTTATTTTATTATTCACAGTGTTCCTTTTTTTAATCAAATAAATGCAGCCTTTGTTAGCATAAGGACCTTCTTTAAAAAACTTTCAAAGATCTTTGCCGACCCCAAACCCCAAGCTCTCAAATAACACCCATCAGCAACAAATGTTTCGGATCAAGACTAGTTGTTGAAAGAGACATCATCAGTACAGGTTGAGCGTTGAAATAATTTTGGTCTTCGGCCTGCAAGCAAAAACAAATACAACCAGAAACTTAATTATTATTATTTTTATTATTATTACTAATTAGTTCTGTCCTTATTTTGTTGTTTTGGGAAATTTTGTGTGCTGCCATCTTGACCAGGTCTCCCTGGAAGCAGTGGCGGCTCGTGGGTTTTAAAATAGAGGAGGCACACTAATTGTATTGGTCTGGGATCCCTGCCGATTATTATTATTATTATTATTATTATTTGCTTAACCACTTTAAAATGGCTTTTTGGTTGCTTTTAGTCAGAAAACGTAAAGAAAACGACACACATACAGCAAGATAATATAATTTCACTTACCTGGCCTATCACTTGAAGCAAACATCCATCCCTTCTTAAAAGTCTGTGTTAAAAGAGAGCTGCCTGTTGCGCCATTATATTAAGCCGACTGCCTATATCCAGCTGAGGCTGTTTTCCCTAAATTTGTATATACTGTATACTGTTTGAATGACAGCTTGGTAAATCTGTTGCCAATCAAATATTCAGTATCGCTACTCATCATAAGGATATCTCATTGGGATCGTCCTGGTTAAAGGATAAAAAAAAAAAATGAAGTATATGTGTTTTATAGAAGTATAAACAATACCACCACCTTTGTTGACTTAAATTAATGTTGTATTTATATTTTTTAATCAGACTGCTTGCTGATGTATTTTGTATTGTTGAATAAAGCTAAAAACCATTTTCCTTCAAAGTTTGTTTTTCTTCAAGTGTGTTAATCAGAAATCTTAATCAGTCCCATGTTCCCTCCTTTTTTCTCTGTCAACCCATGCCCTTCTCTTGTTTTCTCTCCTCTCTCTCTCTCTCTCTCTCTCGCTCTCTTTACACAGAAACAGAGCTGATAGTAATTATACTTTCTCATCCCTGTTCCTTTTGATGCCCCGTTTACAGTTTCACTTAAGCATTGAAATTTTAAGACCACTTCCTTGATATGAAAACTGGTTACAATTATATCTTGATAAGAAAACGTTGACTTTGGCCCAGCTGATACCCGTCTACATAAACAGTATGTAAATGATCTTACGAGAGGGGCCCTCGGATCTGCAATGGAGCGAATGAAACCGATGAACCCTGTGAAAGTTACAGGCTCCGCCTCGTGCACTCATTTGGGAGAGGGTGGGGCGAGCAGGCAGACAGACTCTCACTGCTACCAAATTCAGCAGATTTGGGAGAAGTATGCAGATATCACAGGGAAATATGATGCCATAAATGTTTTGATCTATTAGACAGATGCAGCTGTTCCTCTACAGACTTCCAGCTGTAGAGGCAGAATCCTGCTAATGCAGTACAAAGAATAACAAGTCATCGTACCCTTTTCTAAACCTTATGGTATGCGGTAGCTGTGCAAAAAATATGCCAAAACGTTAAAAAGGTAGTGTTTCACAGGAAGGATGAAGTGGGTGTACAGTAATACTGAATGGGTAGGCTACGTCAAGCATCAAAAATGGACAGTGTTTACTAGCTTTTATACTGGTCTTATTGTGCACGATTCATTAGTTTTCACTTCATATTGTTAGTCTTAATAATCTTTAATCAAAATGTAAAAATGCACTTCCTGTCGAATGACTTTCCTTTCCCGCAAACATCAATCTGATGGAATTGATTGGGAAAATAGCCAATCGTGTTATCTGCTTCTCTCCAACTACCTGCAGCAGGCACCACATCAAAAAAAAATGGTGACAAAGTCTATTTTCGGCTGCTTCTGTCCCGAAACTCTGATCCCCATCCTCAAACGAACATCATTACTGGCCTGCCAGAAGCAGATGTGCGGAGCTTGCCGTATTATACCCAAAACACTTAAGGCTGTAATCACTTCCAAAGGTGTTTCTTTACTGAGTTAAGGGTATGGATACTTATGCAATGTAATTATATAAGTTTTTCCTTTTTAATAAATCTGCAAAGTAATCACAAATCTGTTTTTGTTTTGTCATTATGGTGTATGAAGTGAAGACTGATGTGTGTGTGTGTGTGTGTGTGTGTGTGTGTGTGTGTGTGTGACCCTGGACCACAAAACCAAGTCATAAGGGTCAATTTTTCGAAATTGAGATTTATAAATCATCTGAAAGCTGAATAAATATGCTTTCCATTGATGTATGGTTTGTTAGGATAGGACAATATTTGGCAGAGATACAACTATTTGAAAATCTGGAATCTGAGGGGTCAAAAAAATCTAAATATTGAGAAAACTGCCTTTAAAGTTGTCCAAATGAAGTTCTTAGCAATGCATAATCAAAATTTAAGTTTTGATATATTTACAGTAGGACATTTACAAAATATCTTCATGGAACATGATCTTTACTGAATGTCCTAAAGATTTTTGGCATAAAAGAAAAATCAATAATTTTGACACATACACTTTATTTTTGGCTATTGCTACAAATATACCCCAGCGACTTAAAGGAACACTCCACTATTTTTGAAAATAGGCTCATTTTCCAATTCCCCTAGAGTTAAACAGTTGAGTTTTACCGTTTTCGAATCCATTCAGCCGATCTCCGGCTCTGGCGGTAGCACTTTTAGCTTAGCTTATAATAGATAATTGAATCTGATTAGACCGTTAGCATCTCGCTCAAAAATGACCAAAGAGTTTCTATATTTTTCCTATTTAAAACTTGACTCTTCTGTAGTTACATCGTGTACTAAGACCGACAGAAAATTAAAAGTTGCGATTTTCTAGGCCGATATGGCTAGGAACTATACTCTCATTCCGGCATAATAATCAAGGAACTTTGCTGCCGTACCATGCGTGCAGCAGGCGCAATGATATTACGCAGCGCCTGAAAATAGACTTATTGGAAGTTACCTAGCTGGGACTATTTTCAGGCGCTGCGTAATATGAATCAAATATTCATGAATCAAATCCTGTTTCATTCAGAAATCATTTGCATTGAGGAAGTTAAATTAGTTGTCAGCAGGGTTTGACATTTAATTAATTGTATTCCATTATATTTGACTATATAATTCATTATTAATCATAGGTTCTTTCGAGTATATTTATATTCAGATTTTTCACTTGCCTCATTGCTTCAAATGCCTCATTACGCTTGTACAATACAGCCCTGTTTTGATTTAAGCTCTCAGATCAAAATGACTAATAGTGTGCTTCTGTAAAATCCATACAAAGTCCAGCTCATGTGGAAATTAATGTTTCATGTCCTCAAACAAGAGGCTCCTCAGACCCAAAACTGTTGCTGCAAGAAAAATACCCCACCTGTGTGAATTAGAAGATTCATTACGCACTTGTTTGTATCCAGCAAAATCTATCTGACAGAGAGCAACCCAAATTTGTCACAAAATTTCAATCTCAATTATTCTTATATAATGCAAAACTGTGAATTTTAAAACTGTTTTTAAAATGGCATTTTCTTGTGAAATCCACAGAATGGCTTTTACTTGGAAGATGTAGAGAACAGGTGATTAATTATGGGAGTATATGAGCTTTCAGCAACTTTTTTTTTTTTGCAAACCCTCAAACTCTTCCAGCTAAACATCAGGTGAGTTTGTGGCTGATGGCGGATAAGAAGAAAGATCCAGTTTGTCTTTGGCTTGCAACTACACATGGCAGACCAACAACCTGCTGATGAAAACTTGGCTCCTGCTTGTTTTCTTTCATGTCTCCCGGGAACCATCACAGATAGCTTTTTTCAATTCTTTGTGTGCTTTTTTCCTTTCCCTCTCTCTCTTTGCCATTCCCTCTGTCTGAGGAACCCACAACAAATCTGTTCATTCGACAAGCATCTCTCCTCCCCCTCTCCCTGCGCCTCCTTCCTCTCATCTGAGGTGGCTAAGTTCAGACTGGCCTCTGCTGTCCTCGGCCTGCCTCTTAAATACTGTCCCCACTTTAAATGATACATGAGAAAAAGTCAGCTGTTCATCATAATGGAGCTTTAAGCTTTACATAATGCTTGCCAAATACAGCTTGGAAGAAAGCTTGTAAATTCATTTATGGACACTATAAAAACTCACCTTTTAATTCTGGGGCGTTGGGAGGAAAAGAAAAAAAACCCTTGGTGAAATGGAGGGTGACCAAGGCTACAGAGTAACATCCTGCATCTGGTGCTCTCCACAGCTAGATCTGGTCTGCTGCAAAAGCAACAGGACGGACTGTAAACATCTCTTGTGCAATGCCAAACTGTCTCTCCAAGCTCAGATGATGCAAAGAGCTTAAGGTGCATGCTAAAGGGATAGTTCACCCAAATATGAAAATTCTGTCATCATTTACTCACCTGTTTGTCGTTCCAAACCTGTACGACTATATTTTACCTGTGGAACATGAAATAAGATATTCTGTTGTTTTGAATCCCATTGACTTTTAATGTATGGACAAAAATATTGTTTTAAACATCTTCTAACTCATATTATACTTGATATCATTTGATTTATCAATGTTATCATTATTAAATGTGACCCTGGACCACAAAACCAGTCTTAAGTCGCAGGGGAATATTTGTAGCAATAGCCAAAAATACATTGTATGGGCCAAAATGATTGATTTTTCTTTTATGCCAAAAATCATTAGGATATTAAGTAAAGATCATGTTCCATGAAAATATTTTGTAAATTTCCTACTGTTAATATATTAAAACTAAATTTTTGATTAGTAATATGCATTGCTAAGAACTTAATTTGGACAACTTTAAAGGCGATTTTCTCAATATTTAGATTTTTTAGCTCCCTCAGATTCCAGATTTTCAAATAATTGTATCTCGGCCAAAAAATTGACCCTTATGGCTGGTTTTGTGGTCCAGGGTCACAAATGTTAAAATAACTCACTTTAAACTAACAACAATCAACACAGTAGGGAAAAACAAATCATGAAGTATAGCAGTTTCTTTTCAGATGGAAGCAAATTACATATGTTAGTGCGAAATATATATATAGATAGATATAGATAGATATAGATAGATAAGTATCGCTTTTTATTTCTCCTCTTTCCTACTACTTGTTTCACTTCTGTTTCAGTTTTATAACCATTTCTTACTATGTGTAAGTAAGTTGTTGTTTTTTAGCATGTAAGTTTGGGAGTGTTATTTTTCAGGATTACTGATAAACTACTGTCATTTGATTTGTATTATTTGTATTTGTTATTTATTTTAATTTTAGTTAAATTATGTCGGGAAATATAACTTTGTTCAGCTTCCTAAAGAACCCAGCCTTATGTAAACAGTGGATGCAGTTTGTTTTTCCGGGGCAGCAATGGAGTTTCACAAGTGTGTTTGTTGATTAACGTTGTATAAACAAGGCCCAGTTCAATGCTGGATTTGCACATCGTTTGATACTGAAAGATGGAGCGGTCCCAGCTATAAAAGATCCCGGTCATGATTCAGAACTGCAGATAGTAAGTGAAACTGCATCAAATGTCTGTGTTTTGTTGGCAATCAGAGCTCAAGTGCTCGTCAATCTTTAGCTCCGCCCACGGCACGCCTCCAGGAGCTCGGCTTTTTCCGGAGAGAATTGTAAAGCTGTAGCTTTCTTTTATAAATATGATAAAACTAAAGACTTTTTGGAGATATGAAGGATGCAGTACCACTCTATAGGTACTCAAGATTAACATGAGATTGGGTGAAACTGTGTGTGTGTTATGTCCCCTTTAAACTGCAGTTTATTTTAATAACAAGATAAACTGGTAACATTTTACAATTGGGTCCCATTAGTAAAGGTTAGTTAATTAACATTAACTAACAATGAGCAATCATTTGTTACAATATTTAATGTTAGATAAAAACAGCTGTTCTTTGTTATTGTTAGCTCAAGTCCATCAAGTAATATTAACAGATACAACTTTAGATTTTAATAATGTATTAGTAAGTGTTGAAATTAACATTAACTAATGCTTTAGAACTATTTTTTAGTTTTCATGTTATTTTTGTGTTAACTAATGCATTTAACTAATGTTAACAAATGGAGCCTTGTTTTAAATTGTTACCAATATACATTCAAGCCTTAATATGCTTATTTTTAATTCATAACAAAACCAAATTAAAATCTTTCCAAGTACCCATTGGCTACACGTATCCCTGGTTAGAAATCACTGAGCATGCTGACAAGGAAAAAACACAGAATGAAGGGAGGGAGAGAACTGGATAATGCCCCTGTGTTTGAACCAGGTGTGATTCAGTTGGTGGTTTTCAAACATGGGTTCAGGGCCACTAGGGGGCCTCAGAAATCTTCTGAGTTTTGTTCCTTGGTTTTTCCCATGTTCCTGTATTTGGAATGTTGGATTATATCTTCATAAAAAAAAAAGCCTGCTCCACTTAGATTGTGCTCCTGTCTTATAGTTATTCTTCCGTTTATTTAGCCTACCTATAGTGTCTAATGAATCAAAAGTCTTGCACATTCAAAGAAAATTGCTCACTTCCACATTGCAAAATAAAGTGGATACAGCTATTTTTCAAAGGCTAGCAATGGAGACAGGAATAGTGCATGAGGGCTAACAACTTCAGCTAATAACAAAGCCTTGACTGGATGCGACACATATTTGTCTTTCCACGCTATACATGGAACTGCTGGCTGCCGCAATTACAGCAATTTAGAAGATATTTCATGTTTAAGGTACATGTGGAGCTGGTTAGGATTTACATGAAATTTACATTGTTTCTGCAGCAAATACCATCTTCTTGATGAAAGCCTGAGGAGGACTGTTGAAATTATAGGACTCTGCTTTGGTGGTTTATGGTGGCTGGAGCAGTGTGAATTTACACACATCTGTTTGACAGATAGCAAGGGTTCTGATTGGTTGGAGATCCTCAATGATGTTGGCGCGTAGTTGTAAAAAGTTTTGGTAAGATACCAATCAGAGTCTGTTCTCAGGATGAAACCAAGTGAGCTGTGTTTCTTTTCAACAAGAAAAATAAGCTGTGGGCAGTTTCTCCATACAAGGTGTCATAGCATCTGTTTGAGCCCCTTGATGTAGATTATTTCTAGGTAGCCTATTAGTATTGTATGAATATTGTCCCATTGATAAATACAGTGCAAATAGTTCCGTCTCTGGATAAAAGTGAAGTGGAAATAAAAATCAATAATAGACTGAACAGTTCAATGATAATAACATTTACCAGTCTCGTCTCGTCTGGATTTTTCAAGAATACGTTATGTGGGGAGATTTTATCCCTCCTTACTTCAAAACATTTCTTGAAAAAATTGGGGTTACAATAACGCAATTGAAGTGAATGTGACAAATCATAAAAGAAAATAGAAGTAAAAAAAAAAGTTAGCCTATATGTAGACTTCTGTTCTTACTTGCTTTTTGTTTGTAGGGAGGGTCATTTTACACACTTTGTGTACTCAGGTATCAAAAAAGATCATCAAAAAAAGCAGGTTCCAGTTTTTAAATGCTAGTCTATGATGAATGAGTGTGGCCATCACATTGTATCCTGTATCCTAACCCTAACCCTAATGTAACCCTGTTATGGGTAGGTAATGTTTCTATACCTAAACCTACCCATAAGAGAAGATGACCAAAAAAATCTCCCCACATAACGTATTCTTGAAAAATCCAGACGAGACGAGACTAATGTCTAATGTTCTAATGTTCTTGAAGCCACTAAGAGTTTTGTGTAATTCTGTGTAGAACAGTTTGCATTTTTTTCCACTTCCTGCAGTAAAATTTGTTCAGTTAGTAAGGTTCAAGCAGGGTATGTGCAAATGTGATAGTTTTCTAAAACATTGCAGTTTTGTTTGCATGTTTTGTGAAGATTGAATAAAGTTTTTACAGATTACATTTTCCATTGTACTTACTGACGTACACCTCTGCATGTAGACACCCAACTGTGCAAATTCATTTATAGATTTATAATACTTATAGATATTTTACATAAAACCCAGTCCTGAACCTGAAGAACCATGTTCTGCGGAGTTCAGCTCCAACCAGTTCCAACACACTTGCTTGGACATTGCTACTGATCCTGAAGACCTTGCTTAGCTTAGGTGTGTTTATTTGGGGTAGCTAAACTTTGCAGGACACTGGCCCTCCAGGAGCAGGACTGAGAGCCCTGACATTAGCTCTTTACATTCATTGCATGTGATTTATCAACACCTAGTACATCTTAAAATATAGAGCTCATGAAAAATAAAAGTTCCAGATGGACAAACATTAAATGCATAAACCAGTGTGAATAAACAATATCTTAAAAGAAACTTGGAGATAGTTTGAAAAAGCCAGAATGGGAAGTTTTAAGTAGTTGTACAGCTTGAAGTGTGAAGCTTGTTCTTGTACACAGATATGGCATATTCATGGCAGTACACATGAAATTCATGTATTTATTTGTCATTTAAACTGATGTAAACAAGAAAAAAGTAGACTTAATTTCTTTTTATCCTGTCGCCCCCTCTAGTGGACATTAAGTATTAATGCCTTCATTGCTCAGATAACAAAAGTCAATAGGATTTTTTGGGAAGGTAAGTCCGACCAATTAGAAAAGATACAGCAACACGAGTCAGACGAGTCTGAAGGTCTGAGCTGAATTTGGTGAAACATTAAAGTTCTAGTCGGTGTCAATTACTCTCATAATAAATAATAATAATAATGTTTAAATATATGTAGGCTTTCTCAAGCCCAACAAAGAAGACTAAGAAGAGAAACATCAACCAATTTAGTATGTAATAAAACTAATAAAATTCTAAGGCATGAAAAATAGGGATTTTATTTGCCCTTAACCCTGTTATTTTTTTGTCAGTATTAAGGTGCGTTCACTGATTCTACCTTCTCTCTTTTCTATCTCATTCTTTTCTTTTGAACTGAGTTGGCTACACATGCTTGTATACATTCATAAATTTAAACTTTATTTCTAATTATTTATTAATGTCACACACACCTACCTGCCTTTTGACTTAAATAAAAGACGAGACTGGTAAATGTTACGGACATATTATCATGGAACTGTTCAGTCTATTATTGATTTATATTTCCACTTCACTTTTATCCAAAGAGACGGAACTATTTGCACTGTATTTATCAATGGGACAATATTCATACAATACTAGGCTACCTAGAAATAATCTGTCAGCATACTGTAACTCGCATTAAAGGGGTCACTTGCAAGTCGCAGCAGCACGAATTATGTGCCCAGCAAAATCTGATTAAAATATTATGCGTAATTAACAGTGAGTGGTGGTTTCAGACATTATAGTGCCGCACTCGTACTGACTCTTATTCTGCCTGAAAGAATGAAAAGACCGTACTGAAGGCGGAGCGATTCGACCAATCAGATGAAAGGAGCGTTTCAGCGGCGCCCACACGTGCGAATGAAATATTGAAGCCATAAACCGAATTTTAAACCCCAAACGAAAAATGAGAAATCGAGCCAAAATCTAATTTTCCGTTTGTTAAACTAAACGGAAAAACGAATAAACGAGCCGTTTTTCCATTTCTCGTTATTGCATTCCAAATAGGAGATGAAATGATCAAAACGTACACGGACCGTTTACATTGGGAGAACTTCATAGATTTCAAGAACCATCATTTCATGCCAGGATCCATGTCCGTATGGAAATGCAACACTGAAATAGTGTCATGAAATCAGATTGGGCTTTCCTAGAGTTTCCTTGAAATAGTCCATTACGTGTCTCTAAGAGGAAGCCACTTGTGCTGGATGGCTTTGATGCTGAATCAAAGCAGTTGGTACTGTATGATGTGACATAATGTGACAGAAGTCTATAGAAACGTTTTGTGGAAAATATGCACCATTCAGGAAATGAAATCAAGTCACACAATAATAGTACTCTGTTTATGTACTGAATCACCAGCAGATGGCAATCTTTGTCCTATATGGATCTTTGCACTCCTATAGACTTCATATAATTCCAGTCTTCATGGTGGCTAATGAGATCAGTAGAGGTACAGATTAAAGGGGTCATATGATGCGATTTAAATTTTTCCTTTTTCTTTGGAGTGTTACAAGCTCTTGGTGCATAAAGAAGATCTGTAAAGTTGCAAAGACTAAAGTCTCAAAACCAAAGAGATATTCTTTATAAAATTAAGAGTTAACCACGCCCAACTAAAACGGCTCGTTCTAACACGCCCCCACATACCTACGTCACGATCTGGGAAGATTTGCATAACGCCGCCCAAATGTTCACGCAAAGAAAGAAGGCGTTGCTTTTATTCTCGCTGTAGTATTGTTGACGCTGCAGCCATGTCGTGAAGACGCTGTGTGCTTCGTTGTGAAAGCGAAACTACATCAACTTTCACCATGGACAAAGCGGAGTCCAGCCCGCCTCAGCTCACTCTATACAGGCCTCAGCGCACGCTAAGCCGGGGCTTCCCCTCAAATGTTCTTTTTAGCAGCATCATATGACCCCTTTAAAGGAACATCATTATTTGTTTATTATTTACCATTTTCTATTACAAAGGGTAAAATACACACAGGCTGTTTCCCCATCTCATGTATTAAGATGGCTTTTAATAATTTTCTATTCAGCTGAATGGATAGTTCACCCAAAAATGAAAATCCCACATGATTTACTCACCCTCAAGCCATAGGTGTGAGACTGGTTTTCCTTTGCTGGAAACAAAACTTAGTTCTCGCGAGACTAGCATATTCTCACTGGAGCTTACGCTACGTCTACGTACTACTTCATCCGCTGGAATGCCACTCTCAAGTGAACATGTAGGACAGTTAGCGGAAGCTAGAGATTACGATTTATAAAGTTTTAAATATGGATATTTTTCTTACACAAACACATCGATTCACTTCAGAAGGCCTTTATTAACCCCCAGAGCCGTGTGGAGCATTTTCTTTTATGATGGATGGATGCACTTTATTTTGCTTCAAAGTCTTGACCACCATTCACTCACCATTATAAAGCTCGGAAGAGTCAGGACATTTTTAAAATATTACTCAAGTTGTATTCGTCTGAAAGAAGGAAGTCATATATACAAAGGATGGCTTGAGGGTGAGTAAATCATGGGGTAATTTTCATTTTTGGGTGATCTATCCCTTTAAACGTGATTTTTTATTTATGCAGGATATGAGAGAGAAAGATTCCACTACAGTGCAATAGGTGGCGGAAACCTTATTTTGTCAACCACCATTAGTGTGTGCGTGGAAGAAGTGTTTTTTTATTTATTTTTTTTAAAGCTAAGGATGGGCGATACCACTTATTTTGTTTTCGATACGATACCGATACTTTTAAAGACCAGTATCGTCGATATTGATATCGATACCGATACGATACTTCATAACTGAACTTTTAAATTATGAAATGTATTAAATTATAATTATTAAATTACTAAGAGGAACCCACTTAACTTTATATTTGAAACACATTTTAACATTCAATACACCTTAATTTGAACTTATTAGGTTATATTTTTGTATACACATGGTTAAAAAGATGTCTACTGTAGTGGTAACCATGGGAATCTACAAATAATAAAGTTG